TTTCTTGTTTGAATCCTAGAATGACATCCCAATGAGACATATACCAGCATTATCAGAAATGGCTGGTTGCCATGCCATCCCCGTTTCTGAGGATAGCAAAGCCTTTGGCTCTTCTCTCTTTGACCAAATGCAGATAGATTTTGGGAGCATCTGCCACGTGGCTTTCCCTCTCCAACTCAGCTCCCCAACTTGAGCACCGAAAGAGGAGGTGAGCTTGTCTTTTTTCCCACTTGTTAGAATGTGACTCCCATCACCTTCCTAGAGTTTTTACTTACCATCATAGGCCAGAAGATGAAGGGAATGTATCGGTTGATGGCAAAGGAGTAGAGGAAAAAGAAGAAAGAAATAATTGACATTTCCATTGTGAGGAGCAGGATCAGCATGGGGTGCGTGGCCACTCTTTGGAAACAGATCAGTGCAATCATTATGCAGATCTGGATGGAAAACATACATATACCTGAGGAGGCGTCTCAAGTGTTCTCCCCTGCTTTTGAGGAACCCCACCCGCAACCCCGCTCCCACCAGACACCACTACCAGTCCAATCCAGTTTACCACACTCAGAGACTTGGTCTCTGCATGTCCCTGCGTCCAGAAGTCTTTATTGCTGTCTTTGAATTCCCACTTGTAGCCTCGAAATCCTTTTCTATCTTCCTTGCCCCTCTTGGCTTTTTGTCCAGGTGCTGCCATGGTTGTTAGCAGCAGTTCTCAGCTTCCTCTGGCCTAGCCTTGCCTGCAGTCCCTGAACAGGCCCAGCTCAAGAGAGGAGCCTGGTGTCTCCTGACCTGTTCGAGGGTGGCTCTCAACTGACCACTGGGACTGCAGAATCCCAACGCTTGCTCTTGACGGGCGCGAGCCCACCACATCAAGTGGAACAGCAGGATCACCTCCAGCCTGCAGGAACTAGACAGTCCCACCCTCTATGCAGCAGCATTCACTGAGCCCCACTGGTCCTAGCGAGGACTTCCTTGAAAAGGAGTCCCAGGTTTGTGGCTGTGGCTCCCACTCCCTGGGGTCCTTTCCCTCCTGACCTCCTGGGGCAGCCTCGGGGAGCAAGTGGAAGTGTAACGCGCCGCGACTTTTACAGAAGGCCACATGAGAAAGCAGAAGTGTTGCCAACTTAGAAGCCCTGCCTTTAGGGTCACACTCACGTGGGCATGGGAACTCCGTGATGGCCTGGTGGGAGTGATTATACGTGTGGGCATGATCTCGAGTCTCTCTCTGCCCAATGCTGCAGAGGGCTGGGGGACTTCAGCGCTACTTCTGCCTCGGTCCGGGGGCAGACGGCTTAGTTTCCTTCGCCAGGGCATTTTTCGCTTTGTGCCTCATCTTGTCGGTAACCAACAATGCATCGATGACACACAGGATTCCTGCCGAGAGGCACAGGACCTGTCAGACACAACACGGGTGGGAAGGAAAGGCCGGATTACTTTACAAGCTCAGCTGCGTCTCTCATCCCTATTCCTATCCCACAAGGTCAGGAGCTGCAACAGGCCTCCTGTCCCTCCTGGCCACTGTAGACCAGGTTTCTCTTTCCAAGAAAAGGGAGGCAGTGGGCTTTACTGCCTATACTGGCCTGAACTTGACTAGCTATTCGATCAGATGTTCTCAGCTTATAGGTCTCGACCCTTTAGGTAGCATGACCTTTTCACAGGGGTCGCCTAAGACTAACAGAAAGCACTGATAGTCGTATTACAATTCATAACAGTAACAAAATTACAGTTAGAAGCAGCAACAAAAATAATTTTGTGTTTGGGGAGGGGGTCACCACAACATGAGGGTCTGTATTAAAGGGTCCCAGTGTTAGGAAGGTTGAGGACTGCTGTGTCAGATAATGACCTTTCCAGAGCTGAGAGCCTAGCAGAGTTGAGGCTGGGATGATAACTGGTCTGGAGTTCTTAATTGGAAGGGACAGGTTCGAGATTCAGAAAAACCACCTGCAGAGTCTGTGAGGGGAAGGGCAAGCAAACCTGGCTGAGGCAAACTGACATGGAGGTGGGCTGCTGCCAGGACAGGCAAGAAGAAATGGAGGCTGGGTGTGTGTGGGGGACCCAGTCAGTACAGAACCAAGCTCAGTTGATGAGTTGC